CATCGCCTATTGGGGGATCCTCCGGGGGGCCCTTGAGGCCATATGTACGTCATTTGTAGCTAACTTCATCTATATATTCAGAACATATTCAGTATAATGGTTCCCCACTCAACCTCTATGCTGACTTGACCGTCGAAGAAACACTAGAGAACCCAACTCATATCCTCTAACGTGCTTATTTTGCAGTCCTCTTATCCTAAATAGCAGAACAGTTGTCTAACAAAATGAGGGGACCTACATCATCCATATCCACTCTAAACGCCATTGTTAACTCGGGATTATATTCTAATCACGTTGTGAGTCTCAGGACATCAACACTATCATCCACAGTGGGGCCTCCTTATTATTTTGGATGGGCAATCCCATATATTCGAACATCAGAATAAGAAGTTGCCATCTCTATTTAAGCTCTGCGGTAGTCTAGAGATTTCTCCATAAAGCTATAAGTGCAAGTTGACCATAAAGTATATACAGCTTCGGAGAACTCTCCAAGGTAATCAATTTAAAGATACCCTTAAAATGAGATATTTTTTTGCTATGTACCTATATGCAGATTTCGCTGCTTGATCTTCATCGACTCGACCTATTTCAGCAAAGACCTTGGTATCATTTTCATAAGTAAAACCAAGGCACGCCATCAACAAAAAAAAAACCTTGGTATCATTTTCATGAGTAAAACCCAAGGCACGTCTCAAAAGTTGGTATCATTTTTATGAGTAAAACCAAATACAAGCATATAAGACCTTGGTACCTATTTAGGATAAACCCAAGGTATGTCATCAACTCAGTTGACTTCAACAAAAATACCTTGGCATCATGTTCATAAGTCCAAGACACGTACGTCAAGACCTTGGTGTCATTGTAAGTAAACCCAAGGCACGAGGTCGAGTAGTCCCACTCTCAATACAAAGAGCTGAGTCGCCTCAACCCAAAAACAAATTTATACTCAAACAAAGTAGACTGTAAAATCTTAGCAAGATGTTATCTCAAAGGTACACAATTCAAATTGATAAAAATATCTTTTATTCATATGTGTGAAATTATTTACAGTACAAAAGTGTTGACAAGAAAAAAAAGAGATGTGTTTTGACCCCTAAGGGGACGAACTCGATAGGAATGAGGGCTGATAAACACTGGAGCCAGGAGCAGGAATCAAGCGTAGAGGAGCGATGGTGGAAATTGGCAAAGGAGTTGACTAAACCTTAGACTCGACTTCTTTGCCTTTCTTTTCTCCAGGCCCACTCTCCTAGCTATTATGGGTTGAGCCCTTGCCTGCCTCCTCGACCGACTCTTTGCCATCCTCATCACCGCTCCCACTATCAAGCGTGAACCCCCATCCTTACTTCTCTATCTCCTATAGAGCACCAAGGAGTTTGGGCACTCCTGGAAGATAGTGGAACCGTTCGGGATCACTCTTGAGTTCAGTTGGGAGCTGCACCTCAAGGTAGTCGTAGCTGGCCTTACAAGCCAGGGCCATCTCTATCTTTCTAAGTGTGCTGTGGCAATAGCCCTCAACAATCTTGAACTGATGGGCCTTAGATTCCAGATGAGCGAGGCGACCTTGTAGCGCCTGGACTTCAGCAAGAGATGACTCACACTGTCACTCGGCCTCCAAGATAGCTCAAGTGCTCCCCTGCCTGAGCCTTTCGTGAGCAGCCTGCTCCTTCTTTAGCTGGATCCACACGCTCTTAACTTCTAGTTGATTAGCTCGAGCCCACTCAAAGACATCATTCCATTCTCACCTCTCGACCTTGACCTCCTCCAATAGTTATCTTATCATCTCATTGGTAGAGTTCGTGTTGGAGATGGCTGAGATTTTCATGGAGCTTACAGATCTCGATCAACTTCTTGCTATTTGAAGTCTTCAGGCTATTGATCATCTTCTCCTGCATCTCCACCTCCTGGTGCCATTTGTCCACGCCTCTCTTTCAGATGGCCAGTTTATCATTCCTCGTAGCAATTTCATCCTCCCTCATAGCTAGGAGAGTCCTCCTGAGTTTATCCTTTTGAGCCTCCAACTCCTTTTAGAGTATGAGGTATGAGCTTTGAACTCGCTCGTATCGGCTGAACAACTCCTATTCCACCAGAGCTTCTAGGATCATATACCCCTTCAGGCATTTGTGAAGGCCGGCATCTAACATCTCGCTAAGGATCTCGTCATCACGAGGATGATAGAACTACTCAACAACTCTAGTTTGGGTGAGCCAAGACTCCAAGATCGACCCCGTCTTCTCGAGATGTCGTCTGGGTTCATATATGGACTCTTAGGACGACTCTTTATCTTAACAGGGACCAATTCTGGAAATCCCCATTAGAAGCATCCTCGGCTCGTCCCACTTCTCTGTCTCAAGTCTATCAATGCAATGAGGATACGGAAATCCTAACCCCTGAGTGGGAGGCCCCCCTTCCATAACGTTTTCCCCGCCGATGGGCCGACTCTGTGGGCATATCACGAGCCCCCTGTCCCTCTATTCAGGCCTCAACCTCTTCAGCCTCAGCCAAGTTGATATTGACCCCCTCTTCTCTAGCAAGGGATCCATCATCAACATTGTTGATATTAGCTTTTTGGGCCGGGATAGCAGTAGCGTATCTCCACTGGAGGTTGGCCAGTGGCATCCCTCTGAGCAGTAGAGGACGTACCCACCTCCCTAGCAGCTTCAGCCGACCTTTTAGGACCTCGGCTACCCACTTTTTTTAGCCTCTTCTTTTCAGCCCTCTTGACATGGACTATAGTGGCTCTCGACCCAGCCAGTCAAGCTGCTATCTCGGTCGCATGGGCCTGGACACCCTTAGCCTCCTCAGGGGCCAAATCATGGTAGATTCACTTCTTCAGCCTTGTCGAGGGCCCTCCCTGAGTTGGAGTAGGCAGAGCCACTGGCACCATCTCAGTCTTCTCCTATAATGTCAGCCTGGTCGATTATGCCTCATCATCCACAGTTGAAGGAACTATGTAGATGCTGGCAACTTGCAGGACCGAGTTGAAGAGGTTCTAGATATGATGAGAGCATGTGTAGGCCCTAATCTTATCAAGTGCATGTTTCTTGTTACTTGATAGCAAACCCGGCCTTAGCACATCCTTATTGATCTTAGGCTACGTAGAGTAGCCCAAGACGATATTACCTCCCAACACCCATATAAACCTCTCCTTCCAGTCCTTATTGGACTTGGGAGCGTTGGAGATGTTCTTATTGCCCCTAAGACCTGGAGTTAATAGTGGCCCTCCTGTTGATTCGCTTTCACATAGATGAGGTAGCCAAGAATTCATAGAGCCAGGTCGACTCTTAGCCAGTGGCAGCTAACGACGAATCCTATCAAAGTGGTAATGAAATTCGGCTTCATCTGTGATGGTGATAGTCCTAGTGCTTCAAAGATACGGTAGAGGAAAGGGTGTAGCGACAGGCGCAACCGATACTCTAGATGCTTCAAATATACTGGAGCTAGATTATTGCAGTGGTCATACACCAACTGCGTACAAGCAGGCGCCGATAGGGAAAATGTTCTAGAATGTCATATTTTTCGTACAGAGCCTCCGACTATGACGGTGATACCTTTTGAGTGGAACTTTCAAAGGTGGTTGATCCAAGCCTCATTCATAACTATGAAGGATGAAGACGCCATTAGATCAGATATTCACCAGAGAAGAGAATGAGGAAGGGATTAGAGTTTTTTTTCACAACAGATGAGTTAAGAATTTCCTAAGAGCAACAATTTGTCCTATTTTGCAATGGTCGTACTTATAGGCAGAAGGGCCGACAGGTGGTAAGATCGCAGCAGTCGACTCAGTTCCTAACCAATGGCCAAGATCATTCCCAGAAAATGAGGCGACCACTCCACGATCGAAGCACCCCCGTCTTAGTTGGCCTACAATCCCCACATGAGAGCCGAGGCGACGGTAGCTCAAGACCTTCTATGTCAACAGCAACGTCACTTCGGAAGAGACTCTTGAACAAACCCTCATAAATGCAACTTGGGACTCAGCCAACTGTAGTTCTATTTCACTCAGACTCGACCACCCCGAGTTCAAGCGAAAGAGGCCAATGTTATATCAATAATTAACCTAAGGGTTAATCCTCCTCTTGGAGCCAACATGTGTCCTATGTTAGCATGGGCACTCATACCTTCCAAAGTAGGACCGACAAAAAGGGCAGTACTTATTGTCCCACTCACAAAACCAAATCGAGAGACTGTTTGTCCTTTAACTCCACACCAACAGCTGTCCATCATCATCATTACTCGTGTCACAAATCTCTATAACTCATCAACCTCCATACCACTTTAGTCGCCGTCACATCAGATTAGTGATGACTCATCTCATCTGTAGTCAATATCTATAAGTCATCTGCTGATTTAGCTACCTTCCTAGACTTGACCGGAGTTATGCTTCCACCCATCTTAGTGGTATATATATGAATTCATCACCTACTAAGGGAGCATCCTCCGGGGGCCCCCAGGTCACATGTACGCCATTTCTAGCTAACTTCATATGCATATTCAGAACTTATCCAGTTCAATGGTTCCCCACTCAAGCTCTATGCTGACTTAACCTCAGAAGAAACAGTGGAGAACCCAACTACTCTAACGTGTTTATTTTGCAGCTCTCTTATCCTAAACAGGGGATCATCCATCTAAGAGAATGAGGAGATCTACATCGTCCATATCTACTTTAAATTCCATCGCTAACTCTAACTAGCTAGGAATTATCTTCTAATCTCGCTGCTGAGTCCCAATACATCAACAAAGTTATTTGCAAACACTCTCGAGTTTGGGGGTTTCTCAAGTCAAAATAGCACATCTCGGAGACATACTGTGCAGACTCCTCTTTGGAAATGCTACTCTTTCTCTATCACAACAGCGATTAGAATATCTTTGTCATCTTATTCATCC